AAAAAAAAATTCTAACACATTAGAAGCTTCTATACGTTAGTTTTTGCATTATATAATTATTCTTTCCCGTCAATTAGTAGTATAATTGTAAATCACATTTTCTACTAAAAAATGTTTTGCCAAACTTATGAGAAGAAGAGTGTAGGGTCTTTTTTCTTCCAGCAGCAAGTGGGCTGGGCTGATGAAGTTGTCCCCTTTGTCTGAGTTCGAAAATTAAGCCCCAAAATGCTTCGAAAGGGCAGGGGCATGTGGCATGAGAGCGAAGTTATCATGGGTTTAGCACTTTGGGAAAGAGAAAGTTTGTGGGTTCCTATGGAGGTTAGGGATTCTAATGGGAGAGAGGAGAGGTTCTAAGGAGGAGAGTTTTGGGTAGTTTTCGCAGCTTCCGGCAGCTCGACAGTGACTCTGTTAAAACTGTAGCGATTTTGCCAAAGCAGGGGAGATGGGCTACCAAAGCACGAAAATTTACTGGGTTTTCAAGAGAGAAAGCTTGCTCTCTGAAGGCTGTGGATTGTTCTTTTGGCTGGGTAGAAGAGGCCCTATTTATAGTTGCTGGGGTTTGCTCTTCTCCAAGAAACCCTAATGGTTTCTTCCTAACTTAGCTAAGTTTTTCTCTTCCTTTCTTCTCTTCCTTCTTGACTTATCTCATGGTGGCAAAGCCAGCTCTGCCCTATCCCCTAAAATCAGAGATTTTGGGTGCCCCAAGCCTCTTCCAGCGGCTGCCTCAGAAGGGAGCTTCCCCTTTTCACTCATCTTCTTCCTCCTCTTTCTTCCTCTTTCCATGGTCAAGTCTGATTAAGGAAAGAAAGTGGTTGTACCCGTTGGTTTAAGGGGTGGCATCCTTCTTGCGTGCTAAAATTCCTTGGTTTCTTGAATTCCTATACTTGGGACTAGTTCCCAGCAGCCTCCCATGTGCAGATTTCCAACGTTGGTTTTGTGGTTTTGGTTCCAAACTGAGTGCCAGAGTCTGAGCTAGTTTCTATCCTAATTATGTTGGCTTTTTATCCACATGATCTATCCAATGGATGGGGTGGCTTTGTCAAATGTTGGGCTTTTTGGTTAGTTTACTCTAATTGGACCAATGGGCTTATTTTGGCTAGTTTATTCTAATTGGGTTAATGGGCTATTTTGGTTGAGGCAATGGCTCATCTCCTTCCTTGTGCTTACCCATGTTTGGGCTTAAGAAAATGGGCCTGAGTCCCGAGGCCCCCAAGCGACCCAAGACTTCCATTTCTTAACCCATTGATGGGCCCCATGATAACTTGTTACCATCCATACCACAACCCACTCAAGCAAGCCCCGGGCATTTGAGTGGCTTGGGCCCACTTAAGCTTG